GTCCTGAGAGGAAAGTTTATAGCCATGAGTGCATATATTAAAAAGACTGAAAGATCCCAAATCAATGACCTAATGATACATCTCAAACTCCTAGAAAAACAAGAACAAGCAAATCCCAAAACAAATAGAAGGAGAGAAATAATAAAAATAAGAGCTGAAATCAATGAAATAGAAACCAAAAAAACCATACAAAGAATTAATGAAACAAAAAGTTGGTTCTTTGAAAAAATAAACAAGATGATAGACCCCTGGCAAACCTGACTAAAATGAGGAGAGAAAAAACCCAAATTAGTAGAATCAGGAATGCAAAAGGGGAGATAACAACAAACACCATGGAAGTCCAGGAAATCATCAGAGACTACTTTGAGAACCTATATTCAAATAAATTTGAAAATCTTAAAGAAATGGACAGATTTCTAGATACATATGATCATCCAAAACTGAACCAAGAGGAAATTAATCACCTGAATAGACTATAACACAAAATGAAATTGAAGCAGCAATCAAGAGTCTCCCCAAAAAGAAAAGTCCAGGACCTGATGGATTCTCTGCTGAATTCTATCAGACCTTTAAAGAAGAACTGATACCAACCCTCCTTAAACTGTTCCATGAAATAGAAAGGGAAGGAAAACTGCCAAACACATTTTATGAAGCCAGTATTACACTTATCCCAAAACCAGGCAAAGACACCTCCAAAAAGGAGAACTATAGGCCAATCTCCTTAATGAACATTGATGCAAAAATCCTCAACAAAATAATGGCAAACAATTCAACAACACATCAAAAAGATTATTCACCACGACCAAGTAGGCTTCATCCCAGGGATGCAGGGGTGGTTCAACATACGAAAATCAATAAACGTAATAAACCACATTAACAGAAGCAAAGACAAAAACCACTTGATCATCTCAATAGATGCAGAAAAAGCCTTTGATAAGATCCAACACATTTCATGATAAAAGCTCTAAGAAAACTAGGAATAGAAGGAAAGTACCTCAACATTATAAAAGCTATATATGACAAACCTACAGCCAGCATTATACTTAACGGAGAAAAACTGAAACCATTCCCTCTAAAATCAGGAACCAGACAAGGATGCCCACTATCTCCACTCCTATTCAACATAGTACTGGAATTCCTAGCCAGAGCAATTAGGCAAGAAGAAGGAATAAAAGGAATACAAATAGGTAAAGAAACTGTCAAAATATCCCTATTTGCAGACACATGATCCTATACCTTAAAGACCCAAAAAACTCTACTCAGAAGCTTCTAGACATCATCAATAGCTATAGCAAGGTAGCAGGATATAAAATCAACATAGAAAAATCATTAGCATTTCTATACACTAACAATGAGCAAACTGAAAAAGAATATGAAAAATTCCATTTACAATAGCCTCAAAAAAAATCAAATACCTAGGTGTAAACCTAACAAAAGATGTGAAAGACCTCTACAAGGAAAACTATACACTTCTGAAGAAAGAGATTGAGGAAGACTATAGAAAGTGGAGAGATCTCCCATGCTCATGGATTGGTAGAATCAACATAGTAAAAATGTCGATACTCCCAAAAGTAATCTACATGTTTAATGCAATTCCCATCAAAATTCCAATGACATTCATTAAAGAGATTGAAAAATCTACCGTGAAATTTATATGGAAACACAAGAGGCCACGAATAGCCAAGGCAATACTCAGTCAAAAGAACAATGCAGGAGGTATCACAATACCTGACTTCAAACTATATTACAAAGCAATAACAATAAAAACAGCATGGTACTGGCACAAAAACAGACATGAAGACCAGTGGAACAGAATAGAGGACCCAGATATGAAGCCACACAACTATAACCAACTTGTCTTTGACAAAGGAGCTAAAAATATACGATGGAGAAATAGCAGCCTCTTCAACAAAAACTGCTGGGAAAACTGGTTAGCAGTCTGCAAAAAACTGAAACTAGATCCATGTATATCACCCTATACCAAGATTAACTCAAAATGGATCAAGGATCTTAATATCAGACCCAAACTCTAAAGTTGATACAGGAAAGAGTAGGAAATACTCTGGAGTTAGTAGGTATAGGTAAGAACTTTCTCAATGAACCCCAGCAGCACAGCAACTAAGAGATAGCATAGATAAATGGGACCTCATAAAACTAAAAAGCTTCTGTTCATCAAAAGAAATGGTCTCTAAACTGAAGAGAACACCCACAGAGTGGGAGAAAATATTTGCCAGCTATACATCAGACAAAGGACTGATAACCAGAATATATAGGGAACTTAAAAAACTAAATTCTCCCAAAACTAATGAACCAATAAAGAAATGGGCAAGTGAACTAAACAGAACTTTCTCAAAAGAAGAAATTCAAATGGCCAAAAACACATGAAAAAATGCTCACCATCTCTAGCAATAAAGGAAATGCAAATTAAAACCACTAAGATTCCACCTCACCCCTGTTAGAATAGCCATCATCAGCAACACCACCAACAGGTGTTGGCGAGGATGCGGGAAAAAGGAACCCTCTTACACTGTTGGTGGGAATGTAAACTAGTACAACCACTCTGGAAAAAAATTTGGAGGCTACTTAAAAAGCTGACATTGATCTACCATTTGATCCAGCAATACCACTCTTGGGGATATACCCAAAAGACTGTGACACAGGTTACTCCAGAGGCACCTGCACACCCATGTTTATTGCGGCACTATTCACAATAGCCAAGTTATGGAAACAGCCAAGATGCCCCACCACTGACGAATGGATTAAGAAAATGTGGTATCTATACACAATGGAATTTTATGCAGCCATGAAGAAGAACGAAATGTTATCATTCGCTGGTAAATGGATGGAATTGGAGAACATCATTCTGAGTGAGGTTAGCCTGGCCCAAAAGACCAAAAATCGTATGTTCTCCCTCATATGTGGACATTAGATCAAGGGCAAACACAACAATGGGATTGGACTTTGAGCACATGATAAAAGCGAGAGCACACAAGGGAGGGGTGAGGATAGGTAAGACACCTAAAAAACTAGCTAGCATTTGTTGCCCTTAACGCAGAGAAACTAAAGCAGATACCTTAAAAGCAACTGAGGCCAATAGGAAAAGGGGACCAGGAACTAGAGAAAAGGTTAGATCAAAAAGAATTAACCTAGAAGGTAACACACGCACAGGAAATCAATGTGAGTCAATGCCCTGTATAGCTATCCTTATCTCAACCAGCAAAAACCCTTGTTCCTTCCTATTATTGCTTATACTCTCTCTACAACAAAATTAGAAATAAGGGCAAAATAGTTTCTGCTGGGTATTGAGGGGGTGGGGGAGAGGGAGGGGGCGGAGTGGTAAGGGAGGGGGTGGGGGCAGGGGGAGAAATGACCAAGCCTTGTATGCACATATGAATAAAAAGAAAAAACACACACGACACAAAAAATCGTGGATCACTTTAAAGCAAGTCTCACTCATCAGGATGTTAGACTACTAGGAAGAAAAGGATTATCAGGTGCCTGGATTGTCTATCTTTTCTCCTCTCTGGGCTCTGAATGGACCTACAGATGGATTTTCTCTGCAAAGGCAAGTATAAGCGGAACCCTATATTGCCAACTCATGCTTACCGTAGAGGCAGAGAAAGGGGGGTCCTTCTCTCTCCTATGCTCTTCCAGCAGGAGAGACTGGCCTAAGAGGAGGACTGGGCTGCTGCTTCATCTTGTGGCTGGGAGGTGCAATGTGTTGGGCGCAGTGCAGTACTGCATAGAGATGGTTACCTTTTGCAGCTCAAGCTTCTGCACCATAAGGAAGGGAGTTTGCAGAGTTGCTACAAACAGGTAGAAACTAGTCCTTCTGAAATTAGCTCAGGAGTACCAGAAATATGTCACTTGCCAAGCAATCCATCCTGAGTGGAAAATAAACCCCTTAAATGAGGTGAGGTACCAAACAGTAAACACTTATTTCTTTTCAGTTAAGCACTGAATGCCCTGTGATTGCATCAGAAGGCCCAATTCAGGTAGAGCTGGCTATAGGAATGTCACTGCCCAGCTTGCCTATATGGGGCGCCCTGTTCAAGTTACTTTCTTATGAATGCCCCTGAAGACTTGAGTGGGATTTGAGATCTCTGTGGGCAAATAGCCAATGGAAAGGCAAAGAAAGGTGAATTTATGACAAGGCTGAATTCAACTTGAGGGTAGACTAGGGGTGTCAACCTGGAAATAGTGGCTTGATTCTGGGGTCCCTGTCTGTCCTAGTAGACAAGGCTCCCTCAGTTCTCATTAGATTCTCAATAGCTATGGTCCCAAAAGGGTTAAAAGCAGCTATTTTTAAAGCAGGCAGCTAGCTTCCAGGAGATAAAAGGCCAAGAGATTTTCTTTGTCTTGACTTCAGTATCTCACTGGGTGGAAGAAGGCAAGATCTCAATTCTATACTATTTCAGAATTTTCCAGATGGTTTTAGTTTATAGAACTTCATGTCCTTGTATTGCAGAGAAAGTAGACAAAAGTCTGGGCCCAAGTCCTAATGAAACTATACTGAGCAGCAGGTGACAAAAACCTCAATGCACTGGTTTTCTCATCAATAAAGGAATGATAAAACTCTTTCTCACACCAACACTGTTTAAGAAGTAGATGAAACAGGAAGCTTTCTATTTTCATTTCCGCTTATAGTCAGCTGTATACGGTCTTTCCTACTAGCAAACAGTGCTAAGTGCTTAGGTATGTTGTATCAAAGTCTATAATTGTATCCGTTTAATAAAAGAGGAAAAGAGGGGTGCATATGCCTGACTCCCAAGTGCATGTATTTTTTTTTTTTCCTTTGTAATGGGTTTGTTTGAACTGAGCCTCATACTTACTAGGCAGGTGCTCTACCACTTGTGTCACTCAGCTAGCCCCCAAGTGCATATTCTTTACTGGAAGTTCTACCTTCTTCACGTATCCTCCACCTGCCCCCCCCCACCCACACACACACAGCTGCCAAGACAAAGAGTTCAGCAAACAGCTGCCACAGGAATGATCTGTATAATTAAGGAGAAAAGGTCTTCACACATGGGGTTTCTATGATATGTAAGGCATAGGACTGAGATGACCTCATGTGGCTAAATGCTAAGGAGTGCTTTCATCATGCCTTTCGTAATATGTGCATACTGACTGTCAATAGGGTTTCTATTCTACATCAGTAAAGATGGTGAGGTTCTTATGCCTGGTTTTATGTCACACCAGCAGTTGTGGGTTTAGCTGGGTATTAGGAAATTGGGCTCAAATTCAAGAGTAAGAGGCAGCACTGACTGAATGCAACAATTAATGTGAAAAGAATCATGACTAGAATCATAAAACTGGTATTTATTTCCAACTGTTCCCACTTCCTCACCCAGGAGTGGTAAGAAACAGTATGTGCATCAGACTTCCTGAATAGGACCCAGGGGGCTCAGGGAACTATCTGGAGGGCCTGTGCTGTGATGGCCCAGCTCTGTGGATTTATTTGGCTTTTCTGATAGAGATTCAAGTGCTGCTGGCATCACCCATGTGATTCCTTCTGTGTGATCCAGGGCTGGAAATGAACTCATCAGGCTAATGCCGTAAATGAACTTATTACGTAAGCTCCACAGTTTGGCCTGAGTTTCTCAAATGACCATGCAGAGGCCACTGAGGAGTACATGTTCCCTCACACTGCCACAGCAGTCCCATACAGGGATCTTTCAAAGATGGAGGCTTCTGTGGTCAGAAAGAGGAAAAAGAGGATGAGAACAGCAAGAGGCCTGGCTGCTTCCTCCCAATTCACCTGTGCCTCTGGATCCAGCAAGGTGCACAGCAGCCTGTGTGGTGAGAGGTGAACACTGCAGAATAATAGCTGGGGCATGGCAGTGGCAACAGCAGTGGGTCAGCTCATTTATTAGCTACAGCAGAAAGCTGGTCTCGGATGCGGCCCAGCCCATCCAACATGGTGTCCAGCGTTTCTTTGCTTAACTCCACAGTCACTGCAGAGATGGAGGGTTTGTCCCCACACAAACTGGGGTCCTCTTGGATCTGCAAAGAGAACATGTCTCAGAAAGTTAAAGCTGCCTCTCTTCTTATCTCACAGTAAGTGAGCCCTACTTAGTTCTGTTGGCCCTGTTTAGAGAGACTCTTCGCTGAGAGGTACAGGGAAGTTTGGCTCTTGAGTCACTTAGCAACTGGGGAGAGTAAAGGAGATGCTCAAAGGCCTGGCTCACTTTCCATTTCCAGCAGTGTATTGGATGGGAACCTGATGTCCAAGTTAAGGCTCAGTTACCTTTCCAACATCATAAGTTTTAGCACTCAAGCAAGAAAATACTGCGTTTTATACTTGAACACTGAGAAGTAGGCTTTATGGGATACATAAAACAATCTTTTGGCTGTAGGAAAAACATTTCAACTTCTAGTTATAGTTATTTCATCTTTAAAAAAGGAAGAAATCAAGCTTTGTTAGTATTGAAATTTGAGTTGTACCCTCACTTTTTCATCTTCCTATAAGTGTTGCATTTCTGGGTACTAACTTTAACTAAACAAACCATACGAAATGGATACGTGACTTTAAAAGATTCCTGAAAAGAACTATCAGTGAGGATAATGAGGCAAGGGCATGTGAACGGGAAAATGAAGAGCTGACACTTCTCAACTGCTAACAGAAGCTAGGCTGGCTGTACTGTGAACACTGATAGCTTAACCCTACCAGCCAAGAAGTTGGTGAAAGTCTACTGAAATGATCCTGAATGCACATTACTACTGCTAAAGTTAAAATTTTTCACAAAGTGTACAACTTAAAAATACAACATTCTACATTTGTCTCATTGTTTTCAAACTTCTACCTTCAGTATAATTTTTATTCTGATCTGCATGTATACTTTGTGCACAAGTACATACATTTGGGGATATACTATTTACTTATACTGGTCCTAGAACTTTGGTGGCTGATTTGTAGATGGCCAATATGGCACTGACTCATTCCTGCTCCCACTTTCTTCTCATGGGCCTGACAATAGACGTACCTTCATCTGGAGTAGGCAGGTGGGGACAGCCATACGGCTGATGCTGTCTGAGGAGGTTTTGATATCCACTCTCCAGTCCAGGTCAACCAGGCGTGGCAGAGAGACTGTGGAGGGGATACCTCAGTTCAGAGCTCATGCTACCCATGTTTACCAGGCCTTTACTCTATGGTGGGTGGCTTTAAGGGCTACATACACATAATGCATTGGATCTACAAAGCACATTTCTGGGCATCATCTCTTAAGCTTCTGTTTGAACACCAACCTTCCAGATGTCAGGATAGTATGAGAGGTGGCACATGATAGAAGGAAGACATACCCTGACTCTTAGGAAAAGTGCAGCCTCAGCAATAGTGGTGCGACACCTTGTTTTAAAGATGAACAGACTTGGTTTGAATGTAGGTTCCACTACTTGCCTAACCTGTTTCCTCCTCTGGAAAATGGAGACAATTTTAGCCTAGCTCACAGGGTTGTTGGAGGACTAAATGAATCAGTACAGAAAAGTGGCTCTAGCCCTGTGACTGGCTCAGAGGAAGTGTAATGACTGGGTATTAGACACACTTTCATCCCACCTTTCAAAGCGTTTTCAATTATTGTTAAGTTTTCTTCACTGAATTGAATAAATAGTCCAATTAATAAATGGTTAAATAAACAGTTTTCAAAAGGAAAAATAAAAATGGCTAACAAATACATGTGGAAATGTTCAACACCTTTAGCTATAAAGGAAATTCAAATCATCACTAAGATTCCATTTTGGCCCAGTTAGAATGGCTAGCATCAAGAAAACAAACAAATGCTGGCAAGGATGCGGGGGGAAAAACGGACATTTATATACTGTTGGTGGGAATGTAAATATATGCAGCCCCTATGGAAATCAGTATGAGGTTCCTCAAAATTAGATAAAAGTACCATGATTCTGCTTACCATTCCTGGCATTTTCCAAAGGAATATAAGTCAACATACAGCTGAGATACCTTGCACACCCATGTTTATAGCAGCACTATTCACAATAGCCAAAATGTGGATCAGCCTAGGTGCTCAATTGATGAATGGATAGATTATGTGGTATATAAACAAAATGGCTATTATTCAGCCCACAAAGAATGAAATTTGTTGTTTGAAGGAAAATGGATGAAGGTAGAGACCATGCTAAATGATAAGCCGATTGAGAAAGACAAATACTATATGTTTTCTCTCATATGTGGAATCCAGTTCTTAAAAATGAATGACAAGAATGTGAAACAGGTTCTGTTTGGGGGTAGGTGCCAGTGGGAAGGGGGGCGGCTAAGGAAGAGATGATGGGGGGGAGTGAATACTTTATAATAATGCATGAAAATATAACCATGAAACTTGCTGAAAAATTTTTAAGAAGGAGGGGGATGGGAAATGAGGGGGAGGAATAGAGGGGAGAATTTGATCAGGGTACATTGTATGCATGTGGAAACATCATAATGAAATCCTTCTGTACAACTAATATATGCTAACAAAAATGTAAAAACAAAAAATAATTATTTTAAGAGTTTCACTTTCTGTTTTAGATATTTCTATGATTTTTTGACAACATGCTTTTATAATAATTTTTATAATCAGAAAAAAAATTAAAGAGTGGAATTAAAAAGAAAAGCACAACACATAGGGTTTGGTTTGGGACTCAATAGTTTCCTTTGATTTTTGGCTAAAGTCTGGTCACTGGTGGAGCTGGCGCTAGGAGCAGGGTGAAGAAGTACAGACAGATGTCTCAATACTCACTCTGATTTGCTTGGGCTTCAGTTCTCCAAGAAGATCTGTTTAAGAGAGAAAGATGAGGAAAACAATGGAAAAGAGATGAGGCGAGTTTTCTGATAGTGAGAGAGACCCTTGGACCTCAGTCTTTGCCTTTTCTCTGATATTCACACCTCCTAGCAGGAAAGAATCTCACAAATCCCTCCCTCCAAAAAAGCAATTTTTTCATTGTTTTACAACACTCAGTGACATTAAGACTGCTAGTGCTGCCAGTTAGTTTTTATAGTTTAGGACAAAAAGAATGAAAAGGCTTAATGCATTGTAATATTAGTGTGCTATTGTTTCCAAAGACACACAGAAAAGATCAACTGACCCTCTATTTTACTGGACACCGCCTACACAGAGTATTGCATGCTATGCAAAAGCCTACAAACAGACCTGACTACTGCTAGAGCAAACAGCGTCACAGTCAGATGTGACAGTCAGAGAAGTCAGAGAAAGAATAAAACATGGTCACTTATAAGAAAGTTCTAAGTAAACAACAAATCCTTGGTAAAAAGGCATTTTCAGTTATTGCTATTAGAGAGGACTGCTCCAGACATGTGGTAAGCAATAATTAGTTCTACTTAATTTTTTGTGTTTAAAAGGATCTGCCCAAGTTGGGAGCCAGCAGTTCATGCCTATAAGCCTAGATATTTGGGAGGCTGATATCAGATTGAGATTCAAGGCCAGCCCCAGAAAAAGTTAGCAAGACCACATTTAAACCAGTAACTAGGCATGGTGACATGCACTGGTCATCCCAAGCTATGCGGGAGGCTAGCTAATCAGGAGGATCATGGTAGCAGACTAGCCAAGCTTATCTGCTTGTGAGACTCCGTCTTAATAGAAAAGAGCTGATTGGGGTGATATGTACCTGTCATCCAAGCGATGGTGGGAAAGCTTAAAATAAGAGGATTGTGGCAAAAAGGGAGACCTTATCTCCAAATAAGCAGAACAAAAGGGGCTGGAGGTGTGGCTCAAGTGGTAGAGCCTCTGCTTTAGTAAGCATGAAGCCTGAGTCCAAACCTCAGCACAACACACACAAAAAAGGATCTTGCAGACAATTCACAAAAGAAATTAAAAAAACTACTAGTAATTACTAGTGTCAAAGATATGTAAGTTGAAACAAGAGACCATTTGGCATTTGTGGAACTGTGGAAAAGCATAAGAAAAAATCCCTTCAGTGAAGGTGCAGGGAGTCCCACTGATGGAAAAAGAGTTGGTGCAATTTTTTTGATCGCCAACTGGATAATACAAGGCCGGAACTCAGTATGTTCATGGCCTTTAACCTAGTAAGGAAATAATTAAAACATAGCACAGTTTCCACTATAAACAGCTCACTAAAGTGAGACACTGCCAATATGCTAAATGTTTAACACTAAGGAATTTAAAATTTATACCCAATTCCTTCATGTAATGGAATAAATTTTACCTTTAACTATTAAAAAGACATTGAAAGTAACTAATTAATTGGAATTTGAGTGATATTAATACTGCTTACTGAAAAGAAGCATGGCCTCATCCTTTTTTGCTAAAATCAAAAACAAGCTATCAACCCCTCTACGTATGTGTAAAGAGAAACAATAAACAAGTCCTGAAAGGCTGTCCATTAAGGAATAATACTAATAACTTCTGGGTGATGGAACTATAGGTGTCTTATTTTCTTCTTTTAGCTTACCCGTATTTTCTAAGTTTTCAACAATTAACGTATTTCTAGAACAGGAATAAAAATAATAAGAAATATGAAAGTTAGAAGGAACTCTCAAAAATGAGCACTTACACATGTTCTAGGATGATTTTTGTCAAAAGGTTTTTGAGATTTTGGTGGAAATTTTCTGGAAAGAGGCCAGAACGGCCTCGGCTGAAGACAGGTCATGGAATGCCACCAGTCTAGTGAGGCGATGCAGAGCCTGGAGCAGCTGTAGGATACAGAGGGCAGTCCTGAAGCTTCAGGAGAAGCAGGGAGCAGGGTGGAGCTCCTATCCCATCCATGGCTACACAGTGCCACAGTGACTCAAGTCGCAGGAGTATGGAGGGCTCTATGGTAGATGCTGGTGCCCCACATATCTCCACCACTCCCAGTTCACCCACTGCTCTAGAAGACAGGTGCAAGCTGCCTGACCTAGGAAGCTGCTAGCTTGTCAGAAATCCTTAGCTTGTAAGCAAAGGGTTAAGACATCCCTTTTTTTCTGTGGGAGAATCTGACCTTCAGTTAACTTTCTGGTGCTGTTTCCCTGGTAACCTGAGAGAAATGGAAAGTCATCTGGGTTACTAGGCAACCCTGCATTGGTCCAGTGCCTCTGGACTGAGAGGACTGCATAAACACCTGGGGCCCACAGCGCTGGGCACCCTAAATGGGGTTGTACACTCCTTGCAAGAACCTGAAGCTATACTTATTGAATTGTGACAAGATATATTGGGTCCTGTGGCATTTGGGCTTTGAATCCAGGGTGACAGAAGTCTCATGCCCTTGCCCTTAAGTTGTTACAAAGGAGGGAAAACAAAGAAAATGAAACAGCTCTATAGGCCATGTGGACTCCCTCTGTGAAAGAGGAGTACTGGATCCCACCTGCTATGTATTACCATTCTACACTTTTTTTTTTTTTGCAGTGCTGGGGATTGAACCCAAGGCCTTGAACATGCTTGGCAAGGGCTATACCAATAGGCCACATCTGGAGTTACCATCTTATGTCTTTCTATGTAGATCTGTAGCCACTTGTGGATTATGGTTGATTTGTGAATATGATGATGCTTAGCTGAATCCAGGAAAACTCTGGAGGTACCTGTTTCTCTGCTTTAGGGCTTTTTCTGTTCTCACTGAAGGTTGTCTGACTACTACATATGGACATAACCCAGAAGTGAGGGGAAGTTAACCCTCCAACAGTGAGGGTGGGAGTTAGTGTTACAGTGGTAACTCCTCATGAACATACCATTTTACTGGTTTATCTCCAGTCCCTGCTGGATTTTCCCCAGTCCCTCCTTTGTACTTTTCTAGAATCACCACCCAGATCACCAGCTATACCCAAGTCCTTGCCTCATGTCTATAAAAGAACCCAAACTAAGTCTCCAACTCACTTCTATAATCTTACTTCTGTTTTTTACTTTTCAATAGTTGGTTTCAACGAGCAAAGCTCTAGATTAAAAATAAAAATAACAACATAGATATATTTGGATGAAGCTACTCCTGTTTAGAAGCATACTGACCCAACGAAGTTAAGCTGTCACTGCTACATAACTTCACTATGAGTCACCTTACTCTTCATCTTGGCCACTTGCTGAGATGGGGGGGTGGGGAGGTGGAGCTGAGCAGATTTCCTTAGGGCAGAGGAATGAAAAGGGAGAGTGGTACACAAAGCACCCAAGGCAGCCTGATGGAACCCACTAGTGTGTAGTCCCTGATGCCACTCAGGTCCACCCTCCTGTCCACAGAGCCCTAAAAGGTCTGCCTCAAACTATCCAGTTGCCAATTCATCAAATCTGCAAGTCAAAGGCTGGAAAAGAAAATCACAAAAAGGTTGGCTTTTGTCCACAATGTCAAGGTAATAAGTTTGAAAAGAAGATGGTCAGGAGCCCTGATTATTTATCATAAGGTTCTTATTTATCTTAAGTAAGGTTTAAAGACAAAAGCTTTACAATTAATTTGGTTTTTAAAATGTCTATCTAAAGTTTGCAGTAATGTCAACAGCTATTTCAGAGAAAATTTTTCTTTGGATATGGGAATGACTAGTAAGTCAATACAGAGATTAACAAGTGACAATCGCTAGTTACCAAGGTTCTCTCTGACTACTTACTTGCTCTGCCTCCTCCTGGGTCACAGACAAGCTGGAACATGTAATATCCAAGAGTTTTTTGGAGTCAAGGCTGAACTGGAAAAGCTCTCTTGACAGCTGTCTGACAACATCTTTTGAGGATGCCTATGAATTAATTCACAGATGGGAAAAAAACAAAGTCAGACTTTGAAAACACATGCTTATCGTATTCATTTTTGACATCTTTGGGGCTTTAAGACTTACAGGTACAAGGATACTTCCACTCATGGGAAGATGGATCAGATATACTTTTCCCTATTCTTTCTGTAAAGTACAACTAAAATCCCTGAGCACTTACAGAGATACGATGACTCTGAAAGGGGAAGAGAAGAAGATAGATGTGCTAGGACCTCAAGACTCAGGGAATAATATGATGGTGAGTTCCCTGGGCTTTCTTTTTCATATATCTCAGACTCCAAGCTGAAGAAGAGGGAAAGCAGAAAATGAAAATGGATACAGAAAAAAAAACCCCCAAAACCTCCAATAAATATCAGGTCTCTCCAGCCAAAGGACCAAGAAAGGGGCAGCCTAAAAAGACAGAAAACTTTTGTACAATAGCTGTGGATCCATCTTACTGATGTCTACAATGGCTGTGCTGGAAACCTAGACTTGAGTGGGAAGCCCTGTGAGGCAGTAATGGGGTGCCCCAACACCTCCACTAGGGTGATGTCAAGGCCAAGCAGGGAACTATCTTTATCCTTACCACCCATTCAAGTTGCACTACCCCATGGTATTAATGGAAACAGCTTCCACCCATACCCAGCAGTAACAAGAAACCCCTGCTTTCAGGTACCAATGGGAATCAAGTGGGGAACTTCAACTTCTACCACCCCTTGGCACCAATAAGATGGTGCCCCCATTGTACCTTTGATACCTGCCCGCACAGTATCAGAGAAAGCCAGCTAAAATATAAGATGTGAATAAGATCCAGAGTCTCAAAACATAATATGAACGTGTCCAAATTTTGGTAAAAATCACAAGAACAGAACAATCTCAAGCTGAATGAAAAAAGACAATCAATCAAAAGATGCCACAGGAAGCTGAAGCAGGGGGTTGCAAGTTCCAGTCCAGCCAGGGCTACATGGTGAGACCCTGTCTCAAAAACAAACAAAAAGATGTGAACACCAAGACAGCAGATGTTAAAATTATGAAAAAAAGATTTTAAAGCAGGTCTGATAGCAATATTTTAATAATTAGTTATGAACATGCTTGAAATAAAAAGGAGGCAGTCCAGCCAATAAACAGAAAATATTAAGAATAAAATAAAAATTTTGGAACTGAAAACTATAATAACCAAAACAACAATAACAACAACCAAAGTCAGCACATGAGCTGGATGCCGGTGGCTCATGCCTGTAATCCTGGCTACTCAGAGGCAGGATCAGGATTGAGGTTCAAAGCCAGCTGGGCAAACAGTATGCGACACCTATCTAGAAAAAAAACCTACAAAAAAGGGCTGGTAGTTCAAGGTGTAGGCTCTGAGTTCAAACCCAGTATTGGGGGGGAAAAAAAAACCCTCAGTAGATGGCACAGCACACAACAGTATGAAAAACTACAACAGATCTAGACTGAAATCCTGATAGGAGACAAAGAAGGCTGTACAAAAAAAGTATTAAAAGAAATAACAGCTCAAACATTCCAAGTTCAGCTAGAGACCTAATGGTTGTATATTTCAAGAACCAGTGCAAATTTTAAATAGAATAAATAATAAAAAAACTATACCAAGACATATCATAATTAAACTTCTACTGAAGTTCTACTGAAATGCAAAGAAATCTTGTAAGCAGTGAGAGAAACAACACTTCACCTAAAGTATAAACAATTACTATGACAACAGCTTAAATACCAGAAACCACAGAAGCAAGAAAAAAGTGGCAAAATATTTTTTAGGTGCTAAGAGAACTGTCAACCTAGAATCCTACAGCCAGGAAAAAGGTCTTTCAGGAATAAAGATGTTCACTGATATAAGAAAATCTGTCACAAGATCTACCCCAAAGAATGGTTACATCAAGTTCTCTAAAGAGGAAAGAAATAACAGAAGTGCAAAGACAACTTGACCTGGTGGAACCATCTTGAGTTGTAACCTCCATGACTGCCCTGGTCTGTTTTCCCCGAGAAAGCAATGGAGTTTCATGGGGCGTTATGTGCGGAATCCTGGTTGCCATCAGCACTAATAACATGCCTGGCTTCTTTCTGTGGTCTCTCAGCACCTTCAGTCTATGGTGGTCAGTTCTTTTATACCAAATTTTCCTGGAACGAGAAGGAACCTTGGAATATCAGGTAGAAAGACAGAACAGGGAAAATGAAAATATGTGTAAAAACAATGTTTTCCATTTTTCCTAAACTGAAGGTTCAAGCAAAAATAATACTCTTTAATATATAGAGAGAGGATGTATACTATATGTATGTATGCATGTCTAAATGTATGTAGAGGAAATATTAAGACAGTTATAAGTGAGGAAAGGTGAAGGGATATAGAGGAAGATAAGGTTTTCACATGTCACCCTAATTGATAAAATGATTACACCAATAGACTGATAAGCTACATATCTAGAGTAACAGCTTTAAAAGGCTATAAAAACAAATGTGTTTTAACTCAAATAAATCAAAACAATTCTAAAAAATGTTCAAAGAGCCCATGGTAAGACAGAAAAATGTAAAAAGAAACAAAACCCAAGAAAGTACAGAAAGAAAACAAAAAATAAAATGGCAGATTTAAGACCTAACATACAGATAATTACACTTACTATAACTCACTGTAAGAGGCCTAAATATTCCAATTAAGACACAGAAATTGACAGTGGATTAAAACTCTGACTCAGTTAAGTATTTCATACAAAAAAAACTCCCTTCAAATATAATATAGGTATCCTGAAAGTAAAAGGATAGAAAAAAATACTGTATGCAAACATTAAAGAAAAGCCAGAATGGTTACATTAATTTTAGATAAAGCACACTTCAAAAAAAGCAAATCAAAAAAGAAGGGGTGTATACAATGATAAAAAGTTCTATCCACCAACAAGACATTCTAAATGTATACACACCCAACAAAACAACTGTAACATATGTTAATCTCAAACTGACTTACTACACTTACATAGTAAGGAGAAAACAACAAAGTCATAAATATAGTTGGAGACATCAACACTCCACCTTCAAGAACTGACAGAATAAGTAGACAGATCATCAACAAAAGTATAGGAGAACTCAACCCCATCACCAAACAGTTAACAGGTATGGAATACTTTACCAATAAACAGCAGAGTACACATTTAAGTACCCAGCAAACATATACCAAGTTAGATCATAACCTGGGCCCTAAAGCAAATAGAAATAACACTCTACTATTTCAGGTTTCAAATCTATTAAAGTTTGTTTTATGACCCAGAACATGATCTACCTGAATCAAATAAGAAATCAACAGCTGGGTGTGGTGGCTCATGCCTGTAATCCCAGCTACTAAGGAGGTGGAAATCAGGAGGATGACAGAGGCCAGTCCAAGAAAAAAGTTATTGAAATAGGGATTTCAACAAATAAGCTGGGTGTAGTGGCCCACATCTGCAATTGTAGTTACACAGAAGGCTGTGATAAAAGGCCAGCCTAAGCCAAAAGACTTGAGGTTCTACCTGAAAAATAAAGCAACAAGGACTGGAGGCATGATTCAAGTGATAGAGCACTTGCCTAGCAAGTGCAGGACCCTGAGTTCAAATCCCAGTACAAAAAAAAATCAACCAAATGGAAACAGGAAAACATTAAACACTTAAAAACGTAAACACACTTCTAAAAAATCCATAGGTCAAGAGAAAACCTCAAGGGAACCTAAAGAAAAAATACAATGAAGGGCTGGCTTAGTGGCTCAAGTGGTAGAGCGCCTGCCTATCAAGTGTGAGGCACAGAGCTCAAATCCCAGTACTACCAAAAAAACAAAACAAAAAAACTCACTGAAAAATATACTGAATGAAAAATGCAAAAATAATATACCAATATTTGTGAGACACAGCCAATGATATGTTGAGAAGGAAATTTAAATTTAGAGCATTAAATATGTACATTAGAAAATGGAAAATATGCAAATTAATAATCCAAACTCCTACCTCAAGAACTTAGAATAAAAAGACATAATAAAGGGCTGGTGGAGTGACTCAAGCAGTAGAGTACCTGCCTAGCAAGCATGAGGCCCTGAGTTCAAACCCCAGTGCCACCAAAAGAGAGAGAGAGAAAAAAAAAAAAGGAAGCAGAAGGAAGGAACAGCAAAGAACATAAATTGATGAAACTGGAAATAGAAAAATAAATGAAACAAAGAGCTACTTGTTTGAAAATGTCATTTAAAAAACAAGAGAAGACACAAATTACCAATATTAGAAATAAAACAGGGGTATCACTGTAGACCCTGCAAACATCAAAAGGACAATAAGGGACACCCAATGAACAACTCTATACATGTATAGTTGACAGCTTAAACAAAATGGACAAATTACTCAAGCAATGCCAACTATTACAACTCCTTGTGTATATGGCAGAGATACTTTGAATAGCCCTTTAACTATTAAGGAAATTGAATTAATAACTTTAAAACACTCAAAAAAGAAATACTTAAGCCTGATGGTTCCACTGAAGAATTTTAGCAAACATTTAAAAAAAGAATTACCCAATTTTACATAATCCCTTCTAAAAAACAAAAATAGGAGGAAACAATTTCCAATGCATTTGATGACTCATATTACCTTCATACCCAAATCAGATAATGATAGTACAAAAAAAGGAAGAAAAAAACCCGAAAACTACAGACCAATACCCTCATGAAAATAAATTTAAAAAATATGAATAAAAAATCCTTAACAAAATATTAGCAAATAGAAATGAGCAATATATTAAAAGGATTATACGCTATTATAAGATAACTGGTAAAATATTTGAAAATCTATGCAATCCAATATTAAGATGTGAAGGGGAAAAATCGTACGATATTAAAGCAGAAAAAAAATTGATAAATTTAAACGAAACATCTTTTTTGGGGGGGGTACTGAGGTTTGAACTCAGGGCTTCACACTTGCAAAGCAGGTGCTTTAGTGCTTGAGCCACACACCTCCAAGTCATTTTGCTCTGGTTATTTTGGAGATGAGATGTTGCAAACTATTTGCCCATTTGCCCCAGGTGGCCTCGAACTGCAATCCTCTCAATCTCAGCTTCCCAAGTAGCTAGCATTATAGGCGTGAGCCACCAGCACC